ACAGTCACTGAACTTTTAGTTTAGTGTCATTTCTTAATACTTCTGCCTTTTATTTTTGGAAGCTGATGTACGTTATTTTACTTGCACAATGTTCAATTTCCGTCCAACTTTCCTTTACAATACCAATGTACTAATTTTAAAACAAATATTTTCCAGATGCTGTACAGTCTGACATATATCAGTGGTAAATTAAAAAGAGCTAAAATTGTGGTCTGTGAAGAAAACTTTTTGTCAATAAAGTGCCCGAGATTTCTTAAACCTTGTTTATTGTTATATCTCAACACCTGATATACATGGCAGTGAAGAGTATCCGCTGAGGATATTTTAAACAGGCTGGATATCAAAAAAGTCCACTTTTTAAATAATTTTAAAAGGAGAAGATCTTTTAGCTTTAAAAAGGCAGTTATAGTAAAAATTCTGCTGTCTGGTAGGTTCCTCTGCAAACACAAAATAAATACATTGCAGTCTCAAACTGTTTGGTGCTTCATTAGAAATTACAAAATCAGAAAGCAGTGTATATACCTATGCAAAATAGTTCCTCAGTTCCTGGTTTCTTATTCAGAAATAATCATTTTAGGTCAAGGATACTGGAGCAGACCCACATGGATGGCTGGAAGAGTCACTTCCAAGCATTTAATTTAGTCTTTTGGTGGAAGGCCTCAGATTCTGCCATCTTCAGTTGTGGCAAATGTGGAAACTTGGGTGCAAATTTCAGATTGCTGTCCTAAATTTTAAAAATTCCCAGAGTGGGATAAAACTAGGTACCATGAGAGGGCTGAAGAACCAGCAAGCTGATGCACCCAAACCATCCTTCCTCAAATGCTGAATAATTTGAACCCACAGCTTTTACATCATAAAAGAGACCAATGGTATCAGGCTGTAAGATGCCTTCTCTTCCTGACAGACTGTATAGCCAACAGACAAAAGTCTCTGAGCCCCAAAAAGACAACTTTAAGCACATAGAATGGGCAGTGAGCTGTGAGGGGAAGCTCTGGAGCTGGCAGCTGGGACCACAGTCACACATTTGCCCTCTCACAGTGGGACCCCCTTCAAGGTATGGGGAGAGACTGTCACCCTGGGAATCTGAGGGTGAGAATCTCTTGCTGTAGCTGGATTGTGGTCTCATACCCCATAGAGACATATAAGCACAGTGACATTCAGAGATCCCTAAACTAGGAATCAATCTGAACAATCTGGGAAAGTAATTTAATATTTCCAGAACTAAGCAGGCAGTCAGATTTTTCTTTGAATATAGCTCTTTAGGTAAATAATAATGAAAAAGAGTTCAAAAGCCTATGTTAAAATTCAGATGCCGGACCTTCAGGCCAGGTGTTTTTCTTTAAAAAGAAAACAAAATCCTTCTATTAAAAGTGGGATTTAAAACAATGTTCACTGTGATTCAACAGGCTAAGAGGCTTAACCTTTACAGTACACAGAGCATCACTAAGTTGTTCTTCACCCCGGACATTGTAATTCATGCTATATGATGTCCATCTTCACGTGTGCGTTTCATGAGCGTAGATAGCAAAGCAAACATATGTACTAAAGCTACACAACATAAGCATTCCAGGTTAAGTAAGCCTGGGATAACCAAGCCACAAGCATTTGATAGTTTTGACTATTTGGCTCAGCAGAAGTAAACAGTGTTAAAGTCTCTTGTTTCTTGTAGCACTTGCTTAAATGCATAACAAATGGGAAAAGCATTTTCTGCTCTCCTAGACAATTTCTCTGAATAATTGTCCCTTTATGTTGTCTTGAAAAGCTCTGCATCTTATTGCAAAGAAATAAAAGGAATAAGAAAATAAATTATAAGGGCAAGGGAGCAGGGAAGGAAAGGAAGGGATAGAGGAAGGGAGAGAGAGAGAGAAAGAAGCTAACCTGCAATCTGCAGTTCTAAGTCTCACCTTTCAAAACCAGTAAAGATCCACATACAAGACTGACAACTTCTAATGACATTCTTCAAGGATTTGAAAAGTTCAGTTTGCATAATATAGAAAATCATGTGGTGGCTAGTTCTTTCTTTAGATGCTATTATAATGCATCAGAGGAGAAGGAAATGGATGGCATAGATAGTACCATAATTTTCCCCGTTCACACTGTGAAAGCAGATGGAGTTTTGCACCCATTAAGAACAATTCTTCAATCTGAATGAGCCTTTAACCCTTTCCTGATTACACTGCATATTTTCAGTGTAGCAATTATTGAATACATGTCTTAGTATCTCACGGGTGATATTTTTGAACACCACTTTTGAAATTCTTAGGTGTGGAGGAGCCTTTATGTAATAGTGGAATATGACTAAGGCTTTATAATTAAAGCTGAACTTCCAGTGCCCTCTTGCAGCCACTTATCCCTTTACTCTTAAGTTGTATTGCACTTCCAGAATGATTTTACAGACTACATGGAAAAACCTTTTCTGCTTCTGCTAGGCATATGTGATTGGATTAAATCACAGGAAATCTAAATCCCCTCCTAGCTAATCAAAGATGGAATCTTCCATCTGTTCTGATTCTCCTTCAAAGGCAGTAAAGCACAGCAGTGGACAGCTGATCTTGGTCCAGCCAAATAGGTCTTTTGTCTATAATGCTCCTGTGTCACAACCAAAATTAGCTAAATGTTAGGAGGACCCCAGCCCAGCCTCTTCCCATGGACTTTACCTTGCACTGTCACGTGGGAGCACAGCTCTTGGGATTGCTCTGGAGGTTGTCTTCTGACAGCACATACAAGTACAAGCAGCTTGCAGTCCAAGGAGGCATCTTCAACTTGGTTCAGCTTCTACTACAACCTCCAGAATGAGTATCCTCTCAGCACATCTTGGGTCTTCTTCTTTGCCCACATGTGGGAGATGTCAAGCTACCTCTGATTCAAAACCACTGGGGTGTTTTCCTGACAAGTAAATGGTGTTAACAGAAAAGCAAAAAATGCCGAAAGAAAACAATAGTACTAATTACTAGTTACTGCTAGCTACTGTATTGTGTAGTAAAATTGTGAGTCTCTTTCAGGTTTGCAAAGCAAGTGAAAGTAAAAAAACCTTTTCAGAAACTAGTGACAGGCAACAATAATGGAAGTTTTGAGCTATTTAGCAGTGGATGAGTGCCATAGAAAATCCCAGTCATTTTACTCATAAGAATAGTTGTAAGCCCTTGCACCGTGATTATCCAAGGTTGTGAGCCACATCCTGCTGAAATTCATTTGTAAATAAAATTCATACATAAATAAAATCACATCACTTGATTATGGTTGCAAATTAAATAGAACTGTTTCCCAAGATATGTGCTCCCCCAGCGTAAAACGATGCCTCCCAGCAAGACCAAGCAATAAATTGCCAACGTTATATTGACTTATATCTGAATTATGAAAATAGCTAAAGACTGATTGCAATGAGGAACTGGTTTGGGCTTTTTCATATTTTCCTGTGGTTACCAATACCTCTAAGACTAGCAATAGCAAAATATTTCTGTAGTTACTTATTACTACAGATTCAAAGGGGAAATATTTTTGTAATTTTGATTATAACCAAGAAAGTAAGGAACTTGTATTAACCATACTTGTAAATGCAAAAAGCACGGTAAAATAATTCAACGGTTTGAATTTGGTTAACATATTAGCATTTGCAGGTGATAATACTTTTATTAACTTCAGGAGGTACTACTCCAGATAGAAAGAAATAGCTAGTTAGAAAAGAGAACTTCATTCAGATGAGGTACTTACATTCAATTCACCTGTGAAAAAAAGAAATGAATCCCTGAATTTATTAACGTTTAATATTTTACATTAAGTTCTATGGTTTTGGTTTTGCTTCACATATGACAACCATGTGCTTTAGGCTATGGCTTTTCTTTATCTGCTTTCTTTCTTATTGGGCCACCTATGATAAAGGAATCTTGCTAAAATGGAAATAGAATAAATATTCTCAGTGTGAAGAGACACCTAAATGGGTTTTTTGTCATTTCATGTTTTTCTACTTCAGGATGCACAAAATTATTGAACTAAATATTCAGGAGCATGTTGAAAGTTCTTTAAACAACTGAGCAGAAACTTAAAGGTATCTACCTAGGGTGTAATGGACCAGCAATTTTGTTTATTTTATTTCTAATAAGTGTCTGTATTTATCCATGCTTTGCTGACTTCACAGAACCTTGATGAAGTGCTTCTAAGGAACAAGCAATGGCATCGAAATTATTTAAGGAAACATTCACAGCACTATGATGAATACTAATCCATTTCAAGAATAAAGGTTAGTAAATCTGTTAGGGTCTGTGAACTTTGCCTTGCTGTTATTTCCAATTCCTCTAGCTCATTTCCTTTTTATTTTTAAGAAAGGTAATATAATTTGACCTTGAATTTATTAATGGCTTATGTCACTATTTAGACTATAGCTAGCAGTAAGATGAACACAAGGAAGATAATACTAAATAATCATACACACACTTTTGTTAATTTTAATTGCCTCAGCTAATTACAATGAAGTGAAGCTAATATGCAACATTACATATTCAGCTATAAATATATTTGCATCAGAAGCTGTTCAATGGATCTATGACAAAATAATAAATTATATTCATGTAGCAATATAAAAATCACCACTCAGCTCTCACTAGGAAAGAGTTTGTGTACAGACTTTCAGTGTAATGCTAAGAGAGGATCATAAGGTAGGAGATAGGGGCTCAACCTTCATGTGTTTGTTTTTTTTTTTTCTGGGAGTACCACCACTATTGAAGATTATGGAATAAAAAAACTCTCACATTCTTCTAGGAGATTGCTGACATTCAAAAGAAGTTGCTCAGTATTATGTAATATTCAAGTTAGAATTAATATTTTCATCGCATCAAAGTGAAAATCAGAGAAAATGCATGGTGTGTTGAAATTGTCACCATATTCTTTTGTTAAATCTACGCATACTTATATTGAGGATGATGTCATAATAGCATGTATTACCCAGCGTACCAATATCAAAGTCAGCTAAGGTTAACTGTTCCCCAGACTGAGAACTACCCACAGGTGAGAGAGTCTCTTTCTGAGACAGTAGAGGCCAGTGAAACCAGACATGATCCCTAGACCTCACAGTTTAAAGAAAGAAAACCTCAAATCCCTTTCAGCATCTAAACCAAGGAATTTCGTAAGTTTCCCTAGTAGCTGGCTGTCTTTCCTAGGAGTTCAGTTCTCAGCTACTTTTTATAAAAACTATCTTCTCCTCTGTTTTGTCACTCTCCTTTTATCCAGAAAGAAATGTTCAAGCACATGCACAAAGAGGAGGCAATTGTCTAGAGAGCCCTCAAGAGACTGGATTAGGTTTCGGCTGATCTTGTACAGATGCCCACAAAACAATAGGAATGTTTTGTTGAATAAAAGTGCTACATAGCGAACAAATCCCAAATTTCTAGGAGTCCTAATAACTGTTTATTCAGTCACCATTACTTCTCTTTTGCCAGGTGGCATCAGGGCAAATCCCTCACACAGAGATGTGTGCTAGCATGTGGAGATCAAAAGAGAGAGCTATGACTATTTAAGACACTGTCTTCTTGAAACATCCCTTGAAGATACAGCACCAAGAGAACCAGGCCATTGTAATGAAAAACATCTGAAAGGGTCTCATGCATGGTCAACTGACAGATTTCTGTGAAAAAGTACAGTTTATTCAAAGAATAGAGTTTAATGTAATAGTCCCATTTTGTGACAAATCAGTCTCTTTTCACCATATTAAGAATCACTGCTCTCTGGGAGTTTAAGACTGTGATATTTTTCAGCCACTGAAGTACTATTAATGTGACTTACAGAACTTAAAACCTAAAGGTGACTTCTGATCAAACAGTCTGTCTTGTCTGCCCTTAAAGATTCTAGACATATGGGTTTGCCCTTTAATACACTTAACACCAACAATCCTTATCATCCATGGGTTAGATGGTGGGTGGAAAGAACATGGCTCTTTCATTGTTCTCTGTTCACCTAAGGAAAGATACTCTAAATTGTGAGTTTTGCTGGGAATAAATGAAAATCCTCTGGTAGGGTATATTCTTCTTGTTATTCTAGTCATTTGAGTTGAAGATGAATGAGAAAAGTATCCTTTTACTTCAAAAATAATTGGGGGGGAGGGAAGCAACTGCTGGCATTTATGATAAGCAAATGACAGATGTGAAAATCTATTAACATGTTCCTAACAAGGTGGAAGAACTAAACATATATTCATAGACAGCATCTCCAGAAATCCTATTCTGGCAAACCATGGCTACATTTCAGCAACAGTAGCAATGAAAAAATTAACATAACAGAAATGCACGTTAGCATTCCCTTCTGTTCTGTTCTCTTTATCAAATACATATTCAGAAGTGAATTATTATTTATCTGGATGTTAGACTACAGGGAGAGCAACAATTTTGCTGTCTTTGTTTAGCACAGGAAAAAATGGGGAGAAAAGTATAATCTACGTGTATCTTCAATACATATTGGTAAAACAATACATTTGAATCAACTACATACAGGTATCTTTAAGAAGCAGCAGGATAGTATTTGTTGCAAGGCTTGTCAAACTCCTTCCCCCTATCTTGTTCCAATATGCTGCTGGGTATTCTGTCTTCAAACCAGGGCACCACGTCCTTAAAATTAGCAATGTGTAAGTGCTTTACTGGATAGTGGCCAACAATACCAGACAAGATAGAGTCCATTGAGCTTTTTATGTTGCGTTTGTACAGATAAAATTTACAGATAATACAAATTGGACATACCCAAGAGTATCTTAATTTGTTCATCATATTTGGGAACTTGCTCAAGTGTTTTTCTTTCTATCTATTATGAATAGATTTCCTCTGAAGACCAGAATACTCATTTCTTCAAATTCCACCTGTCCTGTAGGGGATCCAGCTGCCTGATAGGATGAGTGTTTTAAAAATGACAAGCCTAAATACCTGTAAAAAAAGGTATTCTCTTTTAGTAGTAGTGTTGACATTTTTAAGCTCCAAGACCATCTAACTCAAGGGGTTTTTTTTGTTGGTTTTTTTTTTTAATTTCTTCACAGTCACAGAGAGTACAGTTACATAAGCGACAGGGAAAATGAGGCAATATTTTTTTCAAAACTTATCTAAAAACTGTAAAATTATACCAAAGGCAATTATTCTCCTATTTTCCCTTTTCTTTGACTCTCCGTCCCTCATGTGTCTTTTGATTTTTTAAGTTCTTGGCCAGCCTCTGGACTGCTTACACACTTCATGTAGACAATACACGAAAACAAAAATAACCTGAATTAATATTTAAATATTTAATGACCTGGGTCCAGAGGCACATATGAGTTCCTGCTATATGCCCCCCAAAATAATACATTTCATGGTAGGGAGTTTGAGAGAGAAATTTGAAATAAGAAGGGGAGTTTTTGTAATATCATGGAATATCCTTGAAAAGGATGTTCTGGCAGAGTCAAATTGTAGATAAGGGCGATACCAGAACTGGAATAGAAACAAATAGCTCTTGCACATTTAATATAAATTTTATAAATTTAAAAGTCCAAATTTTTTTCCATAAGAAAAGTTCAAAAGACCACTAATGTTTACCAAGGAGTACAAGTTCATTATTACTACTGATTTGCCTTAAAGAAAAAAAACAATGTACACAGACTACTGGTAAGTCATCTCCAAGCCCTGCTGGATGTCTATTAGCAGTGATGCATTTAATGGGACAGCCCTCCTGCTCCCAGGCTTCCCCAGTCTCCTAATGTGGCCTTGGAGAGAGCACTCAGCTTTTGTGTTGGCAGGAGGAAGCACTGTCTGTGATCTGCTACCAATTAAATATAATAAATGAACGGGTATGTGAGTACATGTTTAGACCATCGCAGTGTAACCATTCTCTGATGTTATAGAGGCCTACCTGAGCTTTCTATCACAAGTAAATTAATCAAGAACAGCTCATCCATATAAAAATATTATCCCTACCATGTAGCCAGGAACCATGCTGTCAGCAATATAGTGATTAGTTGAATCAGTTCTGTTGCAAATTAAAACTGACTGAAGGCAGCTTTATTTCATCTAAAGAACTATTTAATGTCTTCATATAAAATGATAGAGAGAGATTACAGGCATGCTATTGGTTTTAACTGAGTTTATTAAAACCAGTTTTGTAGTGTCATTTGGACATTGGCCCCTTCTTTACATGTACAAGGTAAGTAATTCACCTTTAAAGTTGCTGCTCAAATTAAAATTAAAATCTGATTCACCAAGCCAATGTACAAACTGAAATAGGAGCAGAGACATTTAAAAGTCTGCTATTGAAACGGAGTGATATTTTCTCTGCATCAAATCTTTAGCCCTACATTTTAGCCATCTACATTAGAGATTTTTCAATTAATCCTCTTGTGTAGAGTTCCCTTCCAGTTGTGAGGGAGAGAGAGAGAGATGCCTCCTGAAGATTCATTTTACTTAGCAGATATCTTACAGAGCACAGCTTCTGCTCTCTGAAATGACTGCTTCTAGAGGCAAGGGAGAGAGACCCTCCAGAGAATGCTTCAGACAAGATGTTTAACAGCAAAATAACTAAGTTTAACCTCATTCAAACTAGTGCCTCAAGCTATTTATCATAAGCATCCAAAAAACATCAATTGGTTAAACCTGGCAGGTTTAACCAGGCCGATGTCATCAACCCAAAGTTCCCCACAGGTGCTGGCAGGTGCAGAGGATGGCTGGGCTGTGCAGACCCCAACCCCTCAACACTAACAGATACAGCTGTGTTTTTGGAGCAAAACTGAGTAACTCTAGACCTACTGCTTCTTGTCTTCTCAATTTTTTGGCTCTAAGTACTCTCCTGAGAATGTCACAGTGATACAAAACTTATTACTGGGTCTTTATTCATTCGTTTCTGCAATTCCTTTAGGGCATTTTGTACCTTAAGACAGGTAGGAGAAGCAACTGACAGTCAGTAAACTGGCAATTTTCAGGCAGTCTGTGACTCCTGAAGTGATCATTGTCAGTTGATTTAAATTACAGAAACCTTCAGGCTATTCTGTCAGTGTCTGGATTTCTCGGGGTTATGAGAAAAAAAAAAGAGGATATTTTCTCCTCTGCTCAGCAAAAGCAAAGGAAAATTTCTCCCTGTAGGTTAGCTTAAGACAAAAAAGAAAAGGAATAAAGCCAAAACAACTTTGTTACTAATTTTGTTCATATGAGCAAAACATCAAAACTTTAAGTAATGATGTTAGAATCATTAAGAAACAGAACAGACAGAGATGTATACAGCCTCAAATAACTGCTTGCTCACACAGCTCAGCTTGCTCCAAACACTATCCCATCAATCCTGATTCACAAAGGCAGTCCAACAGAAGAAGGCTGAAAGTCATTACCGATTCTTCAGTGTTTCATCTCAAAATGCATTCTCTCAGAAGTAATTTTTTAACCCACAGCAGGGCTATAACATTATTGGCACCATGGAGATGTGGTGCGATGACTCCTATGACTGTAGTGTTGAATGGAAGGGTAGACACTTTTTAGGAAGGACAGGCAGGGGAAATGAGTGGCTGGTGTTGCCCTTTATGTCAGTGAGCAGCTGGAGTGCCTGGGGCTATGGGGATAGAAGAGATGATTGACAGGTTTTGGGTGAGGATTAAAAGGGCAGCAGGGACAGGTGACATTATGGTGAGAGTCTGCTGCAGGCTGCAGGTTACAGGCTGCCCGATCAGGAAGACCAAGTGGATGAAGCCCTCTATAGACAGACAGGAGTGGCCCTGCAGCCATAAGTCCTGGTCCTTACGGGGGACTTCCATCACCCAATATCTGTTGGAGAGACCACAAACCAGGACATAAGCAATCCAGGAGCTTCCTGGAGTGCATTAATGATAACTTCCTTTTCCAAGTGATACAGGACCCTATGAGGAGAGGTGCTATGCTGGACCTTGTTCTCATCAACAAAGAGGGGCTGATGGGGAATGTGAAGCTTAAGGGCAGCCTGGGCTGCAGTGGCCACGAAATGGTGGAGATCTATCCTAAGATCCTTAGGGCAGCTGGGAGTGTGCATAGCAAGCTCACTACCCTGGACTTCAGGAGAGTAGATTTTCACCTGTTCAGGGATCTCCTTGGTAGAATAGCATGTGATAAAACCCTGGAGGGATGAAGAGCCCAAGAAAACTGGCTGATATTCAAGGATCACCTCCTCCAAGCTCAGGAATGATGCATCCCAGCAAAGAGGAAGTTGAGTAAAAACACCAAGAGGCCTGCATAGATGAACAATGAGTTCCTGGTCAAACACAAATACAAAAAGGAAGCCCACAGAGGGTTGAAGCAATCTCAGCTAGCCTGGGAGGACTACAAAGGGATTGTCTGAGCAGCCAGGGATCAGGTTCGAAAAGCTAAAGCCCTGACAGAATTAAAACTGACCATGGATGACATGAGCAACAAGAAAAGC